GTCACTGCATTGTTACGTTGTGACCTGTCTGGTTTATGTAATGTATTATGCCTTAGACAAGATGCTATAGATCTTATATATCAATAGGTGATACTCCAGATTTCTATTCGATGTAACATCATTTCAGAATAATATTAATCACGATTATACTCTATTAATTATTATTTTTTTAATATTTAGATTAATTTAAATGAATATAAATTTTAGTACAGTACATGACGAAAATACAGCAGTCAACCGAAACGATGATTTAAAAAAACTTTTCTGAAGTTCTTAAAAGAAATATTATTCTTCGAGTTAGAATTGCTTTTTTGGCAAAACAATTGAGTGACACAAAGGTGATACCAGGTCCTGGAAAAAATTGACATCCTCATCGTTATTGAGTGACCGCTGCATCGAGGTCATCAGCCGTTATGACAAGTAAAGAAAAAAAAATTATATATAGGAAAACAGAACGTGTCGAATTGACAAAATTATAGTATTTCTCAGAAAACTGTTTTTATAGGATTAAATTTATAAAAATAAGAGATGCGGTTTTTTTTCTTAGATGTACGCGAATGCATTTGGGAGCAAGAAAGGATTTGTTTTATTGCTCACAAAAACGTCATTCCATTTTTCTTTTATTCACAGAGGAAATGCAAAGAGAAAAAAAATGACACATGAAACAATGGTCATCATCACGTTTTTGCCTTTAAGAAAAACCCACAAGATTGCATTTCCGATTTCCGAAATGAATATTTACAAACAAAAGTGAAGATTTTTTTCCCTTTTCTCTTCCCTTTTCTCAGTGTTATTATTTCTAATGCGGTTTCTTGAGCGTTAATAGATTTAACGGGCATTCTTTCCTTTTTTTTTCTCTTTTTACTTAAAAAAATATTCTACCAATAAAATTTATGAAAAATGTAGTCGATCGCCTAAAATACAAACTCCTAACGTCATTAAAATGCTTTCAGAAAATTTTTGGGTACGCCTCTTAGACAAGAAAATAACTTTGACCTAAACCCAAACATGCCAACACGTTGTTGACATTCACGACCTATTGCTTCACATTCTTTTAAAGTCCCTCTAAATAGTGAAGACAAATTAGCAACAAAATTCATTTTATGTGACACCTAAATATTAGTGGTTTTACGTTTGAAAAGACGCTTTTCACGATCTCTGCTTACATTTGTGTTTCACTCAGACTAAATTGAGCAGAGGTCAAAGGGCTGAAAATGAACACTGCTTAAATGAAGATAAAGTAGTCTATCATATATGATTTTTATTGTTAATGAAACTCGTGATAAATTATTCTTTTTGTAAATGAAATGCACAATTTAATTGTTGGAAACAGGTTAAGAGTTACATCTACATTTAAATATTTTAAACTGTTTTTTTTTTTTTTTAAATTACATCTTTCACTCTACAATAAGATTTAACTATTATTTAATAATAAACGAGATTAAGCATAATAATTTTTTAATATTTATAAATACACGTAAAGTTAAATTATAGTTATTATCAGTTTATTCAGTCATTAGTTATTGTTTACAATGTTTTAACAATGGGCGGTCGCTTTTAATGTCATATAAAATATCTCATAAAGAATTAGTATTATCTGTAGTTTAAATAAAATAATTAAGTTTTTAAAGTTTTCATGTTAGCTACTCTACGTTAATTTTACTTTTAAATAAGTAGAATTGTATAAAAGGAGGAAAAAAATTAAGGGTTAATTATATGCTGTAGCATAGGAGTGAAATTAGGACATTTTAAATATACAGGCCTATCTCTACTATCCTATATTACTGTTTACAGTCATATTTTACATCAAATAATATTTTAAAAGGACTAATCTAAATCTACAAACATAATAATTAAATCCAATTACTTTTAAATGGCATTAATATCATTTTAAATCGATTATTTAAACTTAAAATTCGAGTGTTTTCTTAAGTGAAAATTATTCAGTAAAATTGTTTTATAATTAAAAAAAATTGATATTTGTTATATTTTACATATCTAACAATTATGTTTTTATCTGTAAATTAGTTTTCTAAAATGTCACTACAATAAAAAATAACACTTTACTAAAATCAATTTTTAACTTCTATAAAGGATGAGTCCATAATTTCTAAATGGAATTGCAATTTTATACATATTTTATTTCCTAGTTAATAAATATTTTATAATATAGTACAAAAATCGAGGATATTTTCAGAACGATATATTCAATTATAATTGGTAAAGAAGTTATGTTAGACGATGTCTATAGAGGAGTTCATCGATTCAGAATACAATAAAAATCCCCATGCGGTACTAGCATGAGAGCCACGCGAATAAGACAACGGAGCTGTGATCTCTAACCACCATTGATTGGTCCATTCGGGTACCTCCATCCCTCGGGATGAGGGAGAGACACCCTACCTCTGTGTGCCCCTTTTAGATCTGTAAAGGCAATGAGGGTTGGAAAACCAACTGGATTGCTTAAGGGGAGTAGGGGTGAATAATTCACGTAGTCTGCGTCTCTCTGTGTCTGCTAGTTGGCGGGTCCTACTGCCGAAATCCATACTAGGATTGGGGGAAGAACTTCCGTAATTTACTTTTCCCTCACTACCCCCTGGGCAGTGTGTCGAAGTTTCGGATTGATGGATAGCTCTAGGGTTCCTTTCAACCGAAAATGCACCTTCTGTGTCTCATGTCCAGTTTGCTTTCTACATTTTAGGTTTCTCCTTTTTTTTACCTTCGCACGGGGGTTGGGGGAAAGAATTCTTTCGCATCGGAAAGCATTCGGACGTCAATCGATAGTACGAAGCGGATGTGACGAAGATAAAGAAAGGAAGAAAAATTGCTGTCGGTTTGACGGTTGTGGATTATGCTATCTAGAAAGTTCGTTTTAACAAGCGTATAATTCTTAGCAGTATTTGAAATCAATAGAAGTTCAAGAGGGATACCCTCTACTTATTATTATAGCGTAGAAAAACTACTACCGAATTTATTTAAAAGCATTCTATTAAAATCTTATTTTAACATCAAACTTTCAGGCCTATGACTAAATAACAACGTAACGTTAAATTTTCATATTTCGTACACTAATCCAACAGAAACAACCTTAATCTTATTATAAGACTGATTAAATATCTTAAAATAACGTTTTAATCCTGTAATGTATGTTTATCTACATTTAAAAGCGATTTTATTCTGAAAAAGAGCTCCGAATCAATGTACAGGGATTGAAATTTTTAAATTTACATAGAGTTAAGCTCACGGCATACATCTATAAATTACTCAGACTTGAACTTGTTTACATTGAAAAAATCTTTTCTTTGTTGACAATTAATAAATTTGGTTTATCTATAATCTTCTAGATCAACAGGTAAACCTGTACAAGGTCTAAACGTTTACTTATTATCAATCTCTTGTAGAGATTTGTTTTGAAATTTTTTTACTCAAATTACTTATGTTTGGACAACTAATTTACTTTGTACCTTTGTTTTTAAACTAGTTTTAAAAAATAATTTATATTATAATTCTCATATAAACTGTAAATAAAAAAATGAAATAAATAAATCCTATTCATTAGAAGAAATCCTACTGTACACCTAGTTTAATTCTTTATAAATAAACGATTAAAAAAATATATAATGTAAAATAAAGTTTATTAATATATTTTCAATGTATTTAAATTAATCTGCATAAATGTTATCTTTAACTGCGAATAATAATCAATATATTCTTAAGCCAGTCTACTATTTAAATTTTTATTTTAAAATAATAATATATGAAAATTGTAAAATATAAACAAGAATTTAATGCATTTTATAATTTAAAAAAATCCAGAAGAGATTTGATTAATTTTTAAAATAATTATAATATTTAAAAGTTTAGAAAATAAAAAAAAATTATAAAATTAAAAGTAGACAAGAATAAAAATGAACAAATAATTAATGTTCTGAGAATTTCAAATTTTACTTTTATCAAAGTATAAATTTTTCTATATAATTTTTTTTTGTTAAAATCTTATTAAAAATTGTAAAATTGAAAAGAAACACAAACGAAATAATAAGAAAAAAACATTATTTAAGTAAAAATTATAGGCCTTATGCCTAAATTTCTGAGAAAATAAATGAAAAAATTTCCGATTGTATGTTTGTTTAGTAATATTTGTAAATAAACAATTTATTTTATGATTGCATTTTTCATTAAAATAACATTTTATGATATTGTAAAATCGATAATAAAAATTTTTACTGTAATTTATTGTTTTGTCTAAAGTTTATTCTTAAAAAGAAAAATTCAATTTTTTAATACTTATTTTTTTAAAAAATATATATAAAGAATTATTAAAGATAAATGTGTGGAATATAATATTTCAGAAATAATCATCAATTAAAATAGTAAAATATGATAATAATTTTATGTCTTCTACGATTAAATTTTTAAATAAATTTATAGTAAAGTAGAAGCTTTTGGTAAATTGATTAATTAAAAAAAAAAAGTGGAAGGAAAATAGAAAGGAGATTCAGTATCAAAAGTGTGAAAGGTGAAATGAAAAATAGGCTTAGTGATTCTTAGAGGAGAGAAAAGCTTGTCGCGTTGAATGAAAGGAATCAAATCATATGTAAGAAAATGGCCTGCGAACCCCCAACTGCCAATACGGTGCACATCCAACAAGCTGTGTTCTTCTTTGTTAGGCCTACATCCGTGTCATCTTCAGCCTGAAAACTTAACTTTCGATTGAATGGAGACGATGTCCCACCGACTCGGACATCGATCTTCGATCGTGAGAAGAAAAGAAAATACTCTATCCAATACGCGCCACGCCTTGCTGGGTGCATCAAGTCTACATACATAAATACGACGGGAAAAAAGCCAGGAGGGGAGGGAGTAGTGACGGCCCCAGACCAATTTGGGGACCCGGTCAGAAACACTCACGCTGAAGCAGATTTGTGCTCGCGAGGACGAATGGGGATAGGAAATAAAGGAAGAAGAAGAAGCGAGTTTCTTTCCCTCCTGAAAATTACCTTAATGGGCTGTTGCAGTTGTGTCTCACCTGGATGTTTTTCTTCGTCTGCAGAACTTTAACCACCGGATTTCGAGTCGAGAAGGGTTGTTTCATTAGCTTGGTAGCAGCGTATGAGTCCGTCCGCTGTAGGCTCGCCGTCTTTCTTTCCTCGTAGCAAATTATAAAATCACGACCCCCCTCCCTCCACCGTGCCTATGCAGCGGGACAGGTATCCAAAGCCTGTAGTCTCGGGACATGCACGCCATGTTGCGGAGGCTTCGCTAGCACCGCCATCATCCATCATTTTGACGTATGCGCCCTGGGTCAATACGCAGCCAACCGATTGGCCGACGTTCATCACGTGCTATGCTAATTTCCAGTGCTGGGCGGAGCGACGGTACAGTTAAACGACAACCCCAAAGAAAAATTATTTCCATCCAATTCACCCAGAAATTAATGATCATGAGTTCGTTTTTGATGAACTCTCCGTCTTGTGTGGATCCTAAGTTTCCACCAAGTGAGGAGTATTCGCAAGGTAACTATATACCGACACACGGTGGTGACTATTACGCTCCCCAACCGCATCCTTACGTCTATGCGGTCAACCCACCGCCGCCTCATCCCGCTGTTACGTACGGACCTGTGGAAAACGGTGGAGGTCCGTGTTATCCCGATCACGGCGGCTCTCCCCTCTACTACCAGCATTCCTGCAGCATGACACCGAGTATCGGAAGCCGGGTCGCAAGACCGACACCGGACCACGTTACGTCCAGCCACAGTCCCGTTACGATCCTTCCTCCCGGTCCAACTCGCAGATCGCCGGTATCTTCGCCTCCACCGGGCGTCGTTGGGCTCAGCCGGGTCCAGCAATCGCAGCAGCCACAGCAGAATCAAGCCCAACAACCACCTCAACTTAGTCAACAGCCGTCACAACTCCATCAAAGTGCAGCGAGTCAGCCCGATACGGGAAATCCCGACTGTGCCGTTTCTGGCGGTGGCCAGCCCGTCATCTATCCCTGGATGAAGAAAGCCCACGTGGGTACAGGTAAGGAAATCCTTATTACGATTAGTGTCGTCAGAAACGGCGACATGATTAAGGTTAACAAGGATGTAATGGAATAGGAGGGTCTATAAAGAGACAAGGGTAATCCAAACGGCGATAAATAGCATCCATAACCATAAATTATAAAATTTGTCCCACAAACGTCGCACTTGCATATGTTAGGAGGCAAGGGTAATAACAATAAATCAAGACCGTGTACCGAGGTGCCTCACACCACCGAGTCTTTTCACCTTATCTACGTTCGACTAGACTAGGACTGTAACTTCGGTCTCCGAAGGTGGGAAACGAAAGAAAGGACTGTGGGAGGGTGGGGAGAGTCCCTTAAGCGCGATTAATGAGGCAGCACGGTGTGCTACCGACTCGTTTTATGAGGTGTCGTTTCTCCTTTCCAGTTATCGCTGTTTCGACCCTATTCCGCAATCATAAACTAATCGCTCGATTATGATATTAATTAGATGCTAAACTTCCAAACATTCGTTTTGGGCGTAAAATGATCTTTATCTTATCGATTAATTCTTATATATGCTGGATAAGCCATTACTCAGATGAGTGATTAATAGGCATTAAAATGATCATAATAGTTTGTAAGAATTATTGTTTTCTTTCTGCCTGTAGTTTATTAAGAGTGACGAGACCTGTAGAATTTACCAAACTATTGACCGAGCCAAATTTATTATATAATTCTAAGTCTCTACCTTTCGTCCTATAAGTTACACCTCCGTGTAATTTATATTTTAGCTCAAATTTTCTTGAAAAGTCTACAAACTTAATTATGAATTTATACTAACGTAATAAATTGCATACGTTCAAGCCAACAGATAAAAGTGAGGTTTTATATAAATCCTAACTGGATATGTTTCCATTTTAGATACTTGACTAGATAAAATACTACAGTATCATTTTTTCCTGGTAATCTTCTATTTTCTCTCAAGGTTAATATTAAGATATAACATATAGATAAATGTATTTAATTAACAGTTTATCTTCAAAAACCCACAAGAAATCTGCTACATAGTTTTCTTACCTGAGAATTTGCGAACCGATTTTCCAACCCCCATTTAAGCACCCCAGGCATGTCCTACATATTTCCCGTACCAGACTGTACCTAGTTGTGACAACATGTCCTCTTATTCGGACGACAAAAAATGTTAGCGATGTGCCGTACAGATAAATTCTCATAAGCAGCCCTCCTCCGCACAGAAAATAAGGAGAACTCAACTAGTCCATTATTGTTCCGCTTGTTTTAGAAGTTTATTCCTTTGTTAGCGATTCCATATCAAGATAAGAACAAGGATTTTTATATGACAGAGCTCTTTGTATTTTTCATCTTATATAAGCTATGTTATTACACAGGAACAGACCTAATTTTTTTAGTTTATGCTCTTTAAAGTTTATAAAATTCACGTTGTAAATATTGCATGATTAGTGAATCTGCACTTTTTAAGGATATTTTTATGATATAGAAAGCTAAATGAAAAATAAAAATATTTAATTTGATATCAAATTATTAATAATTATATGAAAATTGATATATTTTTAACACAAATTCCCAAGATAATCTAGATATTTAATAATATATTTGCTAAGTTCATTGTTTGTTTACAGTTTTAAAACTGAACTTGAAAAATGATGCAATGGATAAGCTTCTGTATGATTTATATTCTCTGTGTTTGTCTCGCTATAAAAGAATCTTTATAGATGATATAAAANATATTTTACATCAAATAATATTTTAAAAGGACTAATCTAAATCTACAAACATAATAATTAAATCCAATTACTTTTAAATGGCATTAATATCATTTTAAATCGATTATTTAAACTTAAAATTCGAGTGTTTTCTTAAGTGAAAATTATTCAGTAAAATATGCAAAAAAATTAAATTATTATGGCTAACATTATTTAATCATTAAATCGTTCGTTTTTTTTTAATTTTAAAATTAAATGGAATTTTAATGATTTATACAATAAAATTTTAGCATATCTTTCGAATTTTCCGTAAATCTTAACATTTAAATAAGAATGCATAAGAATCAAGTTTGAAGACATTTTCTAATCTAATTTGCAGTCATGCTACGTCCCGGAGGAACTTAATCAAGTTTGTTGATTAACTTAGAAAATTCAAAATCCAGCAATATGTAACTAACTTTGAAACAAAGGCAAACACATTTAGCTCAGAACCATTCTAAGTTTACTGTTTTCTATTGTAAATATATTACTTTACATGCGTTTTAATCTAAATATTAATGTCTTACCATAACATAGAAAACTTTAAACGATGTAAATAAGAACTGCAATTAAAGGTATAAAATTTATATTTGAATTTAAAAGTCTATAAATGGAAAAGTGAAATGTCAATGGCATCATCATCATCGAAATTCAGCTCTATATAAAATGTTAGTGACAGTAATGTCAATCTCTAACACAGCAGGGATTTCTTTTTCCTGTAAAGCCAAATTGTTTTCTCCACCTCACATAGATGCAATCACAAAGTTCTCCGATGGTGGGATCTATTAACTATACTACTTGGACCTAGCGGGGAATTGATTTCCCCCGGGCAGCTGTTTAGACACAGAAGCTTGAACATGTCGGAAACTATTATGGAGTGAATGAACAGATATCAAAAATATTATTTTTATTTTTTTTAACTTAAAAAATCAATATAATCACTTTTGATTTAGGATTCAAATTAGAGATGATTTTTTAACTCCATAGCATCTCGGTTTATGAACTTCTTGTGAATAACTTGCGGCGTGTGCCTGAATACACATTGTTTGCATCTATTGTTTTCCAATCAAATCTGTCATAGAGAACATTTTTTAAATATTTTCGAAATAAATTAATAGTTCGGTAGCAAATTTACGTATCTTAAAAGAAGTTTTGAGAAGGAACGTAAATTTATAAAATTCAATTTATTATTATTATATAATTTAATTTAAATTTAATCTGTTTAAATATGAAATTCACAACACCTGAAAATATTATAAATTATAGTAAAAATTTATAATATATTTTTAAGATCATGTTATGTATGTCCTGTGTAATACTTTCAAGCATGCTTGCTAGGCCTTTAAATTTTATTATGCTCTACTAGAGCATAAATAATATCGAAAATATGCATTGTTTAGAAACAAAAATAATAAAAAAAATCACACGTACAAAAATATTACATTTAGTTTATAAAACGTTTATTAATAGAAGAGAATGTTTAAATATAGGAATTAATGATATTCTGGACAATTGATCACTCGCGTTTGGCATCGCATTTAACTTTTCGTAATTCGAAAATGAAAAGACGTAACCTAGGCCTGATTTACGGATAGGATGAAATTATAAAACAGGCTTAAAATATTTTAGAAATTATGTAATAATTATAATGCTGACTTTATATAGGATCTATAGACTGTTAATTTGTATGAATGATATTGCATATTTACAACCTAAATGACGTTAAAAAATATGATACGTCATAATTCTACTCTATAGTGACTTTTAACTTCTTCTAAGTAAAATGATGCTTCTTTAATTAGGCTAGAATCGATTAAATAAACGTCATTTTCTGTCGTTTTTTTAAATCCATTGAATATTTTCTAGCAGTTTAGGAATTGCTATCTAAATAGTCAGATTTTCTTAATTAGACTCTAATGATCTGAAATAAAGGAAACTTTTTGTCAAGGAGTAGTTTGAAAATTTACTTGTTAACATTCTCTTAACCAATTTATTAGCTAAATAATAGTCTTAATTTATAGCTAAAATTACACGAATATATTTGAGAATTTTAGACTAGAAAATTATAATAAGATTCTTAATTTATATCTTATAATTTTTTAAGTTGACAGTTTGTCTATCTGTCTTATTAAATATGACTTTAGTAGAATAATAACTTTAAAATTTATATCTATCCCTTTCAATGGTATACAATGAATAATACGCACGTTACACCGTTTTAAATTAATTTAAAAATGTAGTAGATTCTTTTTAATATACTTTAAGTTATTCAATTACATTAGTGATAAATTAACATTTTTATATAGGCCAGTGTATAATGATGCCTTAAGCGATGAATTCAAATTCTCTGCTTATCATCTTCTCGCTCAACAATGTTTAATTATCAAACTTTATTGTGAAAATAATTAAGTTTATTATTTAAAAAAACATGCGGCAATATATTTTTAATAACACTTTTCATAAAATTTACATTTTGTTTTTCGAATTTTTCAGTTTTGGAGATAAAATTTGCAACAAAATTTTCACATACACACACTCACTAAAGGAAAAAAAATTATCCATTAAAACAAAATTAGCGATTAACTTTTTTAACGTAATTGACTTCAAACAATAGATCATTATCGAGCATTGTTCAATTTTTAAGTTAAAATTTCTTTAAAAAAAAAGAAGAAAAAGAAAGAGAGGTTGCTGTCGAAACAAACAAAAATAATCAAGTCTGCTATTTGTTTCATATTATAAATTCTTCTATGAGACTTTACTTTATCTCTTATATCATCGATTCTTTTATATAATGTGTAAATGGGTTTATTAATCCTATTCTTTCTTCATATAAAAGTATCAACTAAATAAAAAAATGAAGCAAAATTTTCATTTTTTTTCCATATCAGTTTGATTTTTAATCTCTGTTAATCCCGATATAAAGCACGTAATTATACTTTATACAAAGTAAATTCGAAAAAGAATAAAAATAGATAATAGCAATACTTAAAATCATTGATTTTAGTCGATTAATTAAGAGAAAGAGTTTGCTAGATAGGCTTATTATTGATAATTAGATCATGGCCTACATTGGAATTGTCATTAGAGAGATTCACATTCGTTGTTCTTTTCTGTCGTTAATAATTACTTATAGACTAAGTTTAAATATTCAAAAATAGCAAAAATTTATACGTGGCCTAATGTATAAAAAAAACTATAATTTTTATATTGTATCTAGTATTATATATAATCCACGAAATGAAAAATATATTATCGTTATGGAATATTATAGAGAATTGATAAAATTTTAATAAAATTAATGACGATAACTTTCAGACTTAACAAGCCAGCAATAAATTACCTGTTTGAAGCAGTCTTATTCAATGATCCTCATTGAGGCAGAAAACATGGCTGTAGACATCCGTGGCGCGTTGTTTAGATCAGGCATAAATCCGTAGACCTATCCCATTTACAATCATTAAATCCGATTTCATCAACGTTAGTCTACTTACACGATGTTTGTTGACACAAGTGAGAATGTGACTGATAGTCTTAAGCTCATCATTTCTACCCTCATACGAATGTAAACAAGTTATAGCATCACAAAAGTCAGCCATTAAACAGCTTTTCTGTCAGTGTCGCTATATATCAGGCGTCCACCAAGAAGAATTATATCCTACTGAATTCATTATTTCATTCACGGAATCCGGTGCAGCTATTTTTCTCCAGTTAGCTATTTATTAGCATCTCTATTCTTTGTTGAGGTTATAAAATTAGTTGTAATTATTAAGTTTAATAATGTTGTCGGACATTTTTAATCAAAATGAGAATAAAAATATAAATTTATTAAGAATGTAAAGTATGCTTGACTAAAATTTAAATATATATATTTTTAACAAGTTTTATTTATTGTCATTTCATGTGTTAAGTTAAAGAGAACGAGTAAAATTTAAATTTTTATAGTCTAGTTTGCTAGATTGTTTAATAATTTTGGGTCGTAATGCTACGTAACGTTTCATTATTTAACATGCCAAATATTTTACAAAATAAAATAAATTTTGTTGAAGGAAATGGTTCAAAAACAGGTCACTATCGTTGATATACAACCGAACATTTTTGATTCATACGTCCCATTGTTATTGTAAATAAGTGTTAAATGTTTGTTGTTAGTTTCAGTTTAAATTATTTTTCAAATTGTTTATTTAATTAAAGTTATACACAATTATAAATACGTTACGTTTTGGCTTGTGTGGAATAGTGACAACCAACCACGTTCGAAACAATTAATTTATTATTACTTTAATTGAAATTGTAGACTATGAATGACTTTTTAGTATAGTCATTACGTTTAGGCCGCTCATACAGTAAGCCGGTAGAGAGTTAAATAACTTTTTATTCACCATAACTTTATGCTAAATAGTGAAAGAATAAGTGAAATTTAATATCTGTACTTTAATATTCTTGATTTTATCGTAAAATTATAATTTTTAGATCTAATTTCAGTATCATAGTGCTAATTTATGTTAGTTTTGTCTATTTTTTAACAGTAAAGTTTAATTTAATTGAATGTTTTATATAAAGTTATGTGAAGCTTAAGTACGTATTCTGTATTTAGATGATTTAATTCAAAATTTAATTTTTTTTGTACAATCATCCCGAATAATAATTATATATCGAATGTCATCTAATGTTGTGTGTTTTTCTTTCCTTTAGCTGCAAATGGAAACTTTACTGGAATGGAACCTAAAAGACAGAGGACAGCGTACACTAGACATCAAATTTTAGAACTTGAAAAGGAATTCCACTTCAACCGTTACCTGACGCGGAGGAGAAGAATCGAAATAGCTCATTCCCTGTGTCTCAGTGAAAGGCAGATAAAAATATGGTTTCAAAATAGGAGAATGAAATGGAAAAAAGACAACAAATTACCGAACACGAAAAATGTTAAAAAGAATCCAAATAGAAATCAGAATTTAGCTGCTATCAATAATCGTAATCAACAGAATCAACAGCGACATCAAGCACCACCACAGGCCCAACAGCAACCTCCATCTACATTGCCGCCACCTCATCATCCACCAACACATGATCCAAAAGACGACTATGGTCTTACAGAGCTATGATGTGTATTACTCAACATTCCAACTCAGTTACAAGTTCTCAGAATGCGAAGTATATGGGACATGGGAGGGGGCATGAGTACCCTTCTCAACTCTCCCACAAAACTCCCGCCCCCTGCAATATATCTTCGCAGTGTACTGTACTCAGGAGCAAAGTGCAGAAGCTGAATAGTTTGTTGCTGTGCATGTGACGCCGTCAGGAGATTGTAGTCGCTAGAATATAACGCTAAGGGATTTTACACGATGAATACCAGGCGGAACCACAGGACACAGTCGTAGCAAAGGCTCAGACTTTGCTGACTTAACTTTGGCTAAAAGATCTAAATTTCGAAAATAATATTGATTTCAAATTGTTCTTTTGTAAAAAATCTACGAGAAAATTGTTTATTTAAAAGAGGTTTGTAATGTGGAGAAAATGCAAAGCGGTCAGCATAGAAGAACCTAAGATTCTACCCTTGTCGTCCAATAACTGCTCCTGGAGTATATGTAAGTAGATCTGGATTATCTGTTGATCCAGTGAAGATATAAACCGCGTTGCTTTCCAGAGATTCCATTTCTTGATTTTGGACATTATATTGGGTGGAGTTTTGCTGAGCAAAACTTTAACCGTCATCTTTTCGATATAAGAATCTCGTCGAGTTGTGAGACTTTTACGAAAGGCGTAATCAGAGCGTCTATCTATCTATCTATTTCTCTGTTGCCTATATCTTTCTCTTTCTCTTTTAAACGCTGTATCTTTTGAATCTATTCCTTCAGGTATTTGCTTAGGACGTTCTGTGTTGTACTTATGTGTGCTCTAGCAACATCGTTGTAGGAGGTCTATATTGTACATAAATCTGTAGTAGGATACTGTTTGTCATGTTACCGGTTAAATGATAATGCCGGTATTTTTATGACCATCATGGGAACTTCTGTGTAGAAAGGGCAATACGATTAATAAATCCGAATTAGAAGTGATCTCTATTAAACTATGCAGTAATAGGCCTGTTTATAAAATTGGGTAGAATGTTCTACACGTGTATACGATAAATTGGACCTGCCATGTTCTTGAAGTATACGTACAAATCAGAACTTTCTTTAAGATTATGAATCGCATTTGTTAGTACTTTATTGATTAGACAACCTGTGTAACTTAAAAATGATGTCGAAACGTATACGATATACAAAGTTAAAAAATATTTTTACCGTTCATTTGTTTACATTTCTATGTTAAAATATTTTTGATGGGGCAATAGATCTATTTACTTGTTAATATGTTTTAAAACAGTTGTTATCTTTCAAATTATTTACAATTTAGCATGGAAGAGAATTTATTTCTCCTGTGTTAAGAAAATATCTATTTATATTCATAAATTTATCATAAATACATTTTTTACGTTCATTATTCTATTGTTTATATTGATTTGAATGTATTTTGGATAAATTTAGCCTGTGTAAAAGATACGATAGGCCTACTCCAGAAAAGATTTAGAATTATAAACTCTGTCTCGCGAGCTCGCAGTACTATAAAAGGGCACGGTGTCCCTCTTCAACTATAAAAGCTATCAAGTATATCTAAAACCGTAGCTAACGAGCAAAGAAAGAAGACTGCTTCTGAAAAGATTAATAAAAAAAGCATATAGGCCTATTGGAGAGAAAAATTTCGTCCTTACGATGAAGCAAGGGGTGAATACATTTACATAGAAGAGATTCGTGCACAATTGTTTTAGCAATCTTTTTGTGCATCAAAATTTGATATTTTTAAGAAAGAAAGAAAAAACAAATTATCATTTTTATGAAAAGATATGCTAATTTCACTTTTTATCTTCGGTAAAATAACTGCTTTTTTAGCTATTCACATCTCCTTTCAAGTTTATCAACAAATGATACAGATCTTCCAGTTCTATCAGGAAAATAATTGTGTATAGGCTTTTATGAGCTTCCATTATAAGACTTATTGGAAGAAAGGAAGTCGACAGAAACCTTTTTCCAACAATGATTTTATTTACAGATAGGCCTATCTACAGTTCGTTCCAGTCTGGATATCCAAGGTAGCCGTTATTACAAACCGCGTTTCGTATCCTGCCTATAGAGTTCTATGCTTGGTAGTTCTGTCTGTATCCACCAGGCAAATTCCGCTGTGATACAGGGTCTGTACATTGTTTACTACAGATGGTGTGGCTAACTTAATCACTCTAGTGGATCATTACAGAAAGGATCGAAAGAATGATCATTTTTAGATCAATACGTAAAAATATACTTGAAGGGGGTTATCAAAATTTCATTCTTGCCACTTCAAAGTGATAGATAATAACATAAATATAAGATTATAACTATTTACATAAACCTTTAGGCTACTAAGTGAATTTTCCATGTAGTTTTGTGCATCCAGATGGCATTCTCTACCGTCAATCCAAACTACATTATTCATTGATATTCTTACTTATTAATACTATTCAAATATTAAAAGTACTGTAGTAGGGCACAGTTATCTCCCAATCCAAGTGTCTTATATTGCATATAGTGCTACCAATTTCATTTAGTATTCCTGTTCTTCCCATGATGATAAAATTGATCTGTCGACTTAAATAACAATTGTTTTATTCAAGTGGAAATTTATTCATAGAGCCAATTCTCAGTTCCCTGAAGAATGGACGCATCAATCCTCCAGGATGAGACCAGAGTGATGGTAGACTATTAGTATTTTTTCCAAGACTGTAAAATACACCTCAATATACGTAAAATGCAGTTAGTAGACCAATTTGGTAAGCCTAATACCTGAAAATACGTAAAAAAACCAAACTGTATTGTTATATACGTTAGAATTTTTTATAACTTTCGTAAACTTTCTACTGTTTTCTTGTTTAATTTTTAATTAAACTCGATCCTTTTTTCTCTCGTGAAGGTAATCTCGAAAGGGAAACATTAGAAATACTACCTCTATAACCTGTAATGTTGGTTTTAGCATTTTGTTTTGACCTATTCAGAAAAATTTTATCTACGCCCATTTTTTTTTTCTCTCATTTTTACAACTAGTTCTATAAAAATACAATTAATACTTTAAGTTTACAGTAAAAATATATATTTAATACCTATTATATTACTTATATTATTCCGTAAATTATGTCTGAAAATCGCCTTACATTGTAAAGACACAAGTCATTTACAAGCCATAAATAAACCTGAACTTATCTAAATTTCTAACCTCCTAAAAAATATTTACTTACATTTTCTAACTACGCCCTAAACTTTAAAACCGAAAAAATAATTTTTGTAAAAATACGCATTTTCTGATGATTATTTATCTGTTAGCATTGGCATATGGATTTTTAAGCTTATTTATTCATAAATTATTACTTTTTAAAACATATTATTCTTAAAAAGTAATTTTAATTGTGTTTATGTATAAGAATATATAGGGTTTATATGCTTATTTTTTTATAATTATTTTATAAAATTAGTGGCAAAATATGACGTTTCTTATAAAAATTTAACACTAAAATGTCAGATTCATGTGTAAGTTATTTTAATTGCTGTCATTTACTATAAATATGATGAATAAGTTTAGTAATTTCCATGTATTTACAATAATATTTACAATACTTAATCTTCGCAATTTCATAACAGATTCTAAATTTAACTATTAAACATTGAAAATTTGAATAAGAATAATTAGAAATTAGTAATTTTCTAGTCGTTTCCTATCAATTCTTGTAAATGCGCGTATCTGAATGGAAGTAAGTTAGTACTTATCCAGGTTACATTTATGGAATGGTGTTTTTATCTTTATATCGATTCTATTCTTTGTAATTCTAGATGTGGGCTACTGTTTTTATTATGCCGAACTTATACGATGATTATGAAATAAGATATACGTTACAACATTTAAATTCAAACAGGTTGTATACTTTGAAGTAGCGATGTTTTGTTAGCCAGATAATGCAATTTGATAGGCGTATGGAAATCGGCCTTGAATAATCTATTCATAACAAATCTATTGGAACTAAACTTGACAACTTATTGGCATTGAATCGACTTATTATGTTAACGCCTTGTTACAAATTCAAAAAATGTGTTTCAGTTCAGCTTCGAAAGTTTTTACTTGTTCCTACTTTCTATGGGTTTTGTTCCATGTTTCGTATAATTGATTGTAAATACTTCATTTGCTTGTTAAGAAACTTATGTATTTTTTTTAATTTAAATGTGGTTTATTTATCGTATTTGAGCGTATATTTATTCTTCGAATTAAATTAATTTTAGAAAATGTCGAAATTTTTGTTGTTTAATTTGAAAGTGGCTCGGTGGAATGACTTATCGAAATAGTTCAGTGCTTATGTTATGGGTCAGAGGTCAGAAGGGAAAGGCCGTCTCTAATGCAGAGACTTCTCTGGGTAGAGCCTATAGTGGGCAACTTTAACCTCCCTCCGCCCCGGAACATGGTTTACATAATAAGTAGCTGCCTGCTCCTCTTGCAAGTTACGATGGCTAAAGTTCGGCGTAGGGAAATTTCCAGCCACTGAACACTAACTAAATAATGTATTCACTGCTACTCCAGAATGGAGTATAATAACTTGAAATTTAAATATTAAACAATCTATAGGTTTGAATCGATATTAAGAAACAGAAAACTTTAAACATAAATTATGCGATTATTTTTTAAAGAATCCAATTTATTTAACAACTATAAAATCGAAATTTGGGCTGTATTTTTGACGTACAGGAAGAAAAACACTAATTTTATCTTTCATTTATTTATTTTATCTATAATTATTAAAATCATTTGGGTTAAATTAACTTTTTTTACGTGTTTCATGTTACAGGTTATCGTGTTAAATAATACATGAAATCTGATTTAGTCTTATCTATACATTTATGTTAAAATGTATGAATTATAACATGATAAAATCAGTCTAAGAGTAGCTTTACATTGTTCTATAAATCATAATAAACATCGTTATATCTTTACAAAACATAATATTGATTAACTGGCGATATCTGAACCTATGTTAACAACTGTATGAACTTTAACCTTAGATTTCTTCTCCTATATTCAAAAATATATATAATTGGGTTCTAACTCGAGTAAATTAATAAATTTAAAACGTTAAATTGACTAAAATTAAACTTTTAAATTTACAAGTTGTAGCTTTTTATTTAAAGCTACCGGATGATTTATTTTATTGTGTGATTTAGACTTATAGATTTTATCTGTTGTAGATTATTTTGTACTTTAGTATCAATTTGTTATCTTTGTGACAAATAGTTTTTCTTCCAGTAAATCGTTTATAAAAAAATCTTAACTTTAAATTAGCTAGAAGTGGTTCTTCCATTTAAACATTAGAGTTTAGTAAGGAAAGGAATAATAGACCTAAAGGTATATATAGATCTGCACAGAATAAACGTAGAAAATAACTATATAGGTTATATTGATGAAAATTCCGGGTCTTTGTTCATTGTGTCACTAAATCACGTGACTGAAGCATCAGCTTAAAGTAGCAGTCGACAAC